CCTAGGATTAGCACGATATTATCGTCGATTTATCCCCAATTTTGCTAAAACATCAAAGCCCTTGACAAAACTCCTCCAGAAAGATGTTCCATTTCACTTTAACCCAGAATGCATATCCGCATTCAACGAATTGAAAAACGCATTAGTTTCTGACCCAATTTCGAAGAGACATTTCTATTAATCACCTTTTGCATAGTAAACAATCTGGAATTACCTATTCTTGAAATATTTTCCTTTATATTTCACGAAAAAGACATTAAGCTTAGGATATGCTAAAATATCGTCAAAACCCCAGATCAAGACCAAATCCCAATTATCCTGGACCAATATCATACTGGAAAAACAAATTTACATCGTGGAATCAATGAAACCGTTAGAAGGATTAAAGACAAATACTCCTGGCAAGGTTTAACCAAAAATGTTGAGAAATTCATCAGAGCCTGTGAAATCTGCCAAACAGTCAAAATCTGTAAGAAGAACCTTAGTTCTCCTTTCGTTATCACTGAAACTCCCAAAACTCCATTTGAAAGGATAAACCTTTTTGAATTCCTAGTTCGTAACTATGCCCTAACAGTTAGGGATGAACTTACCAAATTCACTCAAGCTTACCCAATCTCAGACAAAAAGGCGTCCACAATTATTAACCCCCTAACTAGTATTTTTCCACCATTACGGTACACCTTTAAGAATTCTTTGTGATTGTGGAGGTGAATTCAACAACGCCTTACTCAAAGACCTCTGTCAACTTTACGACATAAAATTCACATTTTCAAGCGCAAGCCACCCACAATCCAACGGATCGCTGGAAAGATTCCATGCAACTTTAACGGAGATGATCCGCGTTCATAAAGCAGAACATCCAGATGAACACCCATTCAACATTGTCTCGTACGCAGTTATCTGTTATATTAATACCAAAAATAAGACACACGGATTCACACCTTTCGAATTTTTACATATCATCATTTACAAGAAATTAGCAAATATCCTGTTCCTCGAAATAAAAAAGAACTTCAATAGTTCCTAGGTACTAACCTCTCCTCATTTACATGCATTCAAAAGCATGTATCGACATTCGTCCTTTCTTCCACACTAGCAGATGCTAGTACACTAGGGGAAAAAGCGATCACGCTAAAAACAATAGACACAATAGAAATGCCCTATCAGGTCTTCATGATTGAACATCACTACCAGCTAGCCATTTACCTAGTTCACAAGAAACCTGAGTACAGATTTTCAACAACTAGATACCTATGACAAATGAAATGGCAAGACGTAAGTGAACAGTACTCTTTAGAAGAGGAACAAATTAAATGAACTTCATCTTTAGTTCGCAATATTTTAGAATATGTAGGTTTTATGTTATCCCTAGTTAGATACTGGTGAGAAAAACCAATAATCTTATTTGTTTTCCAACCTTTCTTTTTTACTTTTCCTACAAATGGTTTTTCAATAAATCCAAATAGCACTTAACTATGGGTAAATTTGGTCTGAGCGGTAGGGGTGTTTAGAATATTAGATAAGCAAAATATAAAAAATGAGTTGACAAAGCACGCTGACAAAAAACAACCAACGGATGGTTGTTTTTGTGCGTATGAGTATGACGTTCTGCCAAAAAAATCTGCCAAGATAGATCGAATTTCCTCTCAACTGACCTGTCTCGCATAATTAGAAAAAGGGAGCTTAATTGTAATAAATACAAGTTAGAAAGTAGTAAAAGATGACATGCCCGCGCCACTAGTGGGTTGCAGTGTAGCCAGATTGTATTGTTGCAGAATAAATGTAAAAATATAAATCGAAAATCATAACATTGAAGAAGTGATACAAGGTCTGTTTCCACAGAAATCACAAACCAGTCAGAGCGTTTTTAATTGGTCCAAATCGCTAACAACCAGTTTCCTGACTATTTGCAACCAATAAAATTCGCTCAGGTTGGTTTGTGATTTCGGTGGAAACAGACCTGACCTATAGTGTCAAATGTTTCACAACGCCTTAAAACAGATAAAAGAAGAGCTTTAAAGTGTATGTTAACATAGTTTGCACTTTTATTCTGATAAATGTTTCATCCGGTAACATCGCACAATGAAATTGCAAAGGAATATGTCAAGTATAATCTAACATAACTTTAAACGACACTGCGGTGAGTTCAGAAGTACCTCGAGAAGTACTTAGTACGTAAAGTATTAGTTTGCTCTTTGTCGAATCACATGTTACAAAGAAAGAAGGAACAATTACTTCTGAACTCGCTCCTGAATAGAAATAAAGATATACGACGCAAGCCCGTAACATATTTCACTTTCTCCCTGTTTACCACAGCCTGCGCGCGCCGATTCAGGTATTACGAGACAGGTCAATTAAGTAGTGCTGTTGCCGAAAGCAAGCTTTTTTGGACTTGGACTTTTATTTCTTTGTTGGTATGAGATGATGAAGAGCAACGCTCATTAGTGGCCTCAGCCATGAACACCGAAGAAACCGTTGACAGTGCAAGTAGTGATTTTTGGAAAGAGATTGAGCATGTTCTAAGATATGAAGCTTGGTATACTAAAAAAACGAAAGTGAGAACATTATTACTGGTTTTTTAGATTCAGACTGGGCAGGCGATTGCATTGACCGAAAGTCCAGTTTTTAAAGTTTTCAATTGCACAGTTTATTGGGCTTCATCGGAAACAGTCAACTGTCAGTCTTTCATCCACAGAAGCTGAATATGTAGCTTTGAGTTTGTGCGTGAGTCAGGCCTGTTGGCTAGGGGCCGAATTTATAGTCGCTCCTTGGACCTTAAGGAAGCCTTGAACGTTTAGAATTGACATGACTAACTTGTCAAATAGTACCAAGTGTCCATTCTGAACTCACGACCTTTAAGGCAGACTCAAGGAATGACTATAAATTCGGTCCTAAGATATTCATTTTATGATTTACTAGCGGACCCGGCGAACTTCGTAACGCCTCAGAATCAATAAATGTTAAGTTAACGCATCAGCTTAATTAAATTCAGTTTTTTAATAAGATAAAATGATTACTAACAATAAATTATGTGGTTCAATAAATGTTCAAAAATCAAAATGGAACAAACCGCGCAATCTGACGCGGCACACTTGGTATCGGTTATAAGACATGGCGCCGTATGCATATTTAGTGAATTTTCTTCATAAATATGTTTTTCTTTTTCTTGTGTTTTTTTTATACGTAGGTTGAATGCGCAAACTTAAATAAATGTGGCAACGTTGTTTCATATTGTCAAAAAAAGTTGGGTCATGTATGTGAATAAGTTTGTTTATAATTAATTAAAAATTAATTCTGTTTTCCGAGAAAAAATGTAGCCTATACTTACTCCCTTTATATAGTGACTAAGTGGTATAAATTCCAAGGAAATCGGTCCAGTCGTTCTTGTGTTCTAAAAAATAATACAGTTACGTCGCGTCGGTTGAATGCACAAGCTCAAATAAATGTGGCAACGCTGTTTCATGTTCTCAACAAAAAAAGTTGGGTGATGTATGTGAATGAGTTTGTTTATAATTATTAATTAATTAAAAATATTTTTTTTCCTGGATAAAAAGTAGCCTATGTCACTTCCATTCAGATAGAAACTACGTGGTTTAAATTTCAAGGAGATCGGTCCAGCCGTTCTCGAGTTATAAGTGCTTCCACAAAACACAACTGTGTTTTATATATATAGATTTAAAAATCAAACAAGATTTTCAAAGAGTCAAAATTTTTGCAGATAATCAAAGTGGGATTAAAGTTTGCAAGGACCCAGAGTTTCATAAGCAACTCAAACATGTGGATATCCGTTTCCATTTCGTCAGGGATAAGATTAAACACAATGTTGTTATATTAAAATACATGAGTACTGCAGAACAACAAGCGGAGATGTTCAAAAAACCATTAGGTTTTCCAGTTTAAAAAATGAAGGAGCATGTAAGGCTTAGAGTAAGTTTGTTAATATTGGAGATTCACCGTTGAGGGAAGGTGTTGAAAATGTAGTTTTAATGCAACGGCAAATCTATAGCTGAAACAAATCCAAGCGGCAGCAATCACATTAAATAACCTAAACTGTAAATAAACACCGGCTGGTAATCCAGCCTTCTTATTGGTTGAAACGTCCTATCTGGACCAGTGCGCATGCACGGAGGACATTTGATAGGTTGTAATGAAAATTACCAGTTAATGTCATTACTGCCGGTTCGATTTGATTAAACTATAGTTAGGAGAATTTTTTGTTCAAGTCAAGATATAATATGTACCAGTAAGTTTTCCTTGACTTGTAATCCATTGACCTCCGAGCAGAAGATATCTGTTAGAGAATAAACGACTTCTTATTGTTAAAAATAGAAATCAAAACCTAGAAAATATAATGATGAATGCCTAGGGTGAAGCGATATAAATATTGAATAAATAAATAGAGAGTAATTAACACGTTGATAAAAATCACAATATACCTAATTCTCTTTCCTTTTCTTTTTATAAAAAATTAATTACCTAATATGTAGGTAAAGTTCGTTTCACCAGGGTTCATACTTGACCTTGAAACTTGGAAAAAAGGGTTGTCGTAGATTATTTCATATGACACATTTAATTTTTTTGACAAATTAAAATGAATACTTCTGGTTTAAGAACCGACGAACGTTTTTGACGTTATTGATTTGTTTCAGTCAATTTCTATTTGTTAAACAAGGAAGGCAAATGCTGGTGGCAAGTACAAACCCTGGTGAAACAAACTTTATCTTCAAGATCAAAAAATATAAAATGATAAAACCAAATAAGTAAATATCCGCAATATTTTCATGGTTAAATTTAATAATTTAATTTCAAACAAGAAAAATATTATTATATTGCATGATTTGCATACTTTCTTAAATACAAATATATTTTATAGGTCAGCTTAAGACGTTTTCATCGATAGTAAACCTAGTTTATGAAATTTATGGGAACTAACATGCAATTTTCAAATATAACCTGATTTAAATCTCTATAGCTTATTCTGTGATTTCTGTGTGAGTTACCTTATGTTTTGTTGAATCTTCCTCTGGCGAAGATGGAGAAGGTGAACTAGAATCAGCAGGCGTCTTTCCAAATATTAGTTGAAATTGTAGCTCTGAAATTAGTAGATAGAATTGCAAATGATCAATAACAATGTAAGTTTAACCTCTGTTTCTCGACTTCAGCTTCTCAATTTCCCCGTGCAAACCAGAAAGAATCAACTGATGCTGATCCTGCAAAAAACGAATGTTCTGCTCCAAACGCATTTGTTCCGGCGTTTTTGAAGATTGCTCGTCATTTTTCTGAGTTTCCTGAGGTTTGGGGATTACGACTTCACTATTGACTGTACCATTTTTAGACTTATTAACCTGTAAGATAAAAAAAAACTTAATTATCTGAATTATGTAAGTATATTTAAATTATAAACAACTAGCTGACCCGGCGAACTTCGTACCGCCTCTGAAGTATTAAATATAGGTACCTATTAAATGTTGTGTTAACGTATCTATTAGCTGAATTAAATTCAGTTTTTTTCGATGGTGAATTTGGCTTTGGTTGAAGAAAATTAATGTTTACTCTCTGGATCAGAAGCCACCTAAAATTAAAATTTTACATCATCCTTTTTTAGGCAGCTTGTGGGCATTATTCTTGTAAAGTGTACCATCAAATAAATAAACTCAGGCACAGGAATGTTCAAAGAATGTAAAGAAAACAAAAAAAAATCTCTAGCGCAGCCCTATTTCACTCTATCTGCACTGCATGCACTGCACTACTCCATCTGTTCTACTCTATCTGCACTACTCTATCTGACCTACTCTATCTGATCGGAATAGTGGAATAGTTCTGTGCAGCATTGTTCTATTGTATCTGCAATGCCGAGCTTCGTTCCAGGTATCAGAGATTTTTGTGTCAGAGATGGCGCGGTATACAAAATACAAATTACAAAATAAACTTGGTATCGGTTATAAGACATGGCGCCGTATGCGGGCTTAGTAAATTTTTTTCATAAATAAATAGAATAAGTAATGAAATGACCACATTAATGACATAACAACATGCTGGTACTGTCAACGCTGAAAAAAGTTTCAATTTGACAGCGAAATGATCCTCCATTTATTGAATAATTAATTTATTACAAAAAATGTGATAAATGAAGAACCGCTCGACCGATTTTGTGCAAACTTCACATAAACCATCTAATAAATAGTCCGAACAAAGCCTAAACATTTGGTTTGGCTAGATGAGTCCGTTCTTGAGTTATAAAATTACAACGAAAAGTGGCATTCATTTTTATATATATAGATATAGGTAGTGCTTAGGTTATGATAATAAAAGCACTTGTCAAACAATGTAAAAATAAAAAGAATTAAAAACTGATGCATTTTTTATATCAGATTGGTGTCAATTTATTTAGAATCCTGTTGACTATTCTTCTAAGAAAAGACTATATTGAACTCACCTGTCCAAAAGGAGCCACAGGTAACTTTACGATAACCTTCGAAGCCATTGTTTCTCCTAAAGACTATTCACCTATTGCTGACACGGCAAAATAAGCAACCACAACGCTAGAGCTCTGGCAATATGCCTTTGTTTTTGTAATGAACACGCGAAAATAAGTAATTTGAATGAGCTGAAAATATGGTAATTTTCAACGTGAGGTCGATAATTTAAAGGTTTGGTGGTGAACGAGAGCTTTACTATACCACGAAATGACTGTCAAACTGATGAGAACCGTCTATTTTGCAAAACGGGAAAGGTCATGGGGCATTAATTTCATAAACCATCCCTGTTGATTCATTGCATTCAGTTTTAAGTTGAATTGAACAAAACGAAACTCGAAAATCTCTCTATTACCACGTAATACTATTAACCAAAATTATCTAAAACATAAATAAAGAGCTACAGAGGTTGTATAAGGTCATAGTAAAATGCGTAGTAAATTGAACCGGTGAATATTTCTTTACAATAAAGCCCTATTAACCTCACTCAAGTATCGCAAAATCCTTTACCGATATTCCTATTTGTTTAACAGTTGAAAAAAATAACACTAACTTTTCTTCATAAACACTAAACTTAATATTTTCCTGGGAAAATCCAGAAAGCTTTTTCACGAGAACGCCAAACAACACTCTACACTCTATACGTTTCTCTTATTGATTAGACTGGGGGTTCGTTGTTTTGACACATGCTCTGTAAAGATTTTCTCGAGAGAGAGAGCTCTAGCTGAGTGATTGGAATTGCCCCTGGGAAAAAGAAACAACCACAGATCCAGAAAAATACCGAAATCAATCTGAGTCTAATAGGTTTTTCTTGTTGACTCAGAGGGCTATTTTCATGAAGGAGATTATTGTTATCCTTTATTTTAGTTTCGATTTTAGCAAAATAGGAATTTCAAGCTGAAATTCATCAACTGATGGTATGTCGCATAGTGAAAATTTTTAAATGGAACTTGGCACTAGTTTTGCCTTAAGTAGCTTAAGACATCATGAGGGAATTAGAATAAGGTACAAATTATACGCTCAATATTTTATTTCGAGTGCATATTACATTTTCCAGCTAATTTATCTAAATGCACGATAAGAAATTAAATATTCTATAAAAGTGAAAGACGCTCGATAAAATTGATGAATGCTCGATATAAAATTTACATTGCTCGATAAAATGATAAATATTTGATAAAAATAATAGACACTCGATAAATAAAATAATTGCTCCATAACAAATTCATATTCTTCCTAAATTATTAAATACTCGATGAAAATATATAGGCTCAATAAATGCAACAAATAATCAGAATCAAATACAAATATTTCCTATATCCTATATCAATAAATATTTGTTAAAGAATAATATAGGTTTGATTAATTTATGAGGATTGCTCAGTGCCAAACTCTGATTTGTATCAAAGAGAAAAATCTAAATTCAATTAGTTTCCGTCATTATTTCGTATACTTTGGGTTAGTATTAGAAACTTTGAGTTACTTTGGGTTAGTATTATATTAATAAGTTTGTGTTACTTTGAGTTAATATTGGTAAGTTTGGGTTACTTTGGGTCAGTATTAGTAAGTTTGAGGTACTTTGGGTTAGTATTGGTAAGTCTGTGTTACTTTCAGTTAGTATTGGTAAGTTTGGGATACTTTGGGTTTCCCTCCAAGGAGCTGTGAGACCTTGTTGTTGGTGAAGGGGCACAGCGACTGACTGAGCATTTGACTGGTCAGTCGTTGCCAAGGACAGCTCAACAAGCCGCAGGGGCTCACACCTAGTGAGTACGGGAGCTGGCATTCCCGAGGCAGCCTAGCTGGATACAGACCTTTTTTCAACTTGTCTTGGGTCTGATCCCTGCTTTCTTCTTTCCTATCGCTCTCTTGATCAACTCTTCTTCTCCAGCTCCCGACGCTATTAGAGCTACTCGAGGGCTAGGGGGCACTACTTACTTCAAACTATCCTTCTTCACTATCTTCAGACCCTAAAAAAAAAAAAAATATAATGATGGACACAAGCAAACGAAATACGTTTACGATGCAAGGGAGAGATACCCTAGTACCGGTCAGTGTCGGTGGTGAGAAGCAGGCCTCGCCCGACCGTCAGCCAACTAGTGCCTCAAAACCTAAGATGCAAGCTTCAACGAGAGAGGAGCGAAGAAGTTCGTTGACCGTAGATATGATATGGGATGATGAAAGGGGCGAATCCTTGGACAAAAAAGGAGGCACAGTCATACTGCAAATGTTCCAAAAGATACAGAGCTTTTTGGAAGAGGAAGGCACATCAAAAAAAAAAGTAAGCTTTTAGATACCTCTATCGGCAAAGAAAAAGAGGCAATGTATAAAAGGAAGAAACGCACAGAGTTTTTCGCACTTAGGGAATCGCTGAACATGATTGCAAAACTAGGTGCAGCCTTGGAGTCAAAAATCGAGCAAAACACAAAACGAGAAAAGAGATTTCCAAAAAACTTAGAAAGAACATAAACATCGTGTTAGAGAAAAAGAGCTTTGAAACGGAATCTCAAACAAGCCCCACGTAGCTCGACACCTATAAGGCTGAAGCGGCAGCAAACCCCAAAGGAAAAAGGGGAAAGGTACCAACCCAGATGGACGAAGACACCACAGCTAAAGAATATGGAGAAAATGAAGCTAAAACGGCACACGTGCCCAACCAATTATGTCCAAGCTGCAAAGCTAAGCTCCCAGAGGCAAGACACTTCCAGACACAAACTGACCACAACGATGCTAAACAACTGAGAAAAGAGGCGGAAGAAAAGGAGCACGCTCTAAGGCCTGAAATCAGGGGGCGACGCTCGCAAACTCCTCGACATCATAGATAAAAACTGGCCCGAGGAAACATACAAAGTTACGAAGGCGGAGATAGGTAGCCCAGCAGCAACTCCCATGGACTGGGACATAGTGATCATGGCAAACCCGGAAGATAATTTTGAAACCGACCTACTGAAACAAATAAAATGGTCCTTTCCGGAATTCGCTGAGTTATTCATCGAGAACGGCCAGAACATAGAATATATAGTCAATACCCAAAGAAGCTCAGAGAAGAAACACATGAGAGGTACTACTTTGCGGTGCCACAAAAAGAAGTGGACCCCCTGAATGTTCTCCAACGGCTCGAACAGCTTAGAAATATAACTAACACTACAAGCAGAAAGAAACTGGCTATAGCGGCAGCCGATGGTACCGACCCTGTCTACCTAAGGAAGATGTTAGAGTTTCTATATAGACCTGAAGCAGTCGAATGGAAAATCCTCCTGCCGAAGGCTAAGGAATAACAAGGACCAAATGACCGAGAAGGGAAACCAGCAAAGAAGAGACAGGAAAAGCAAGTGGACACACTGACTCTCAGAGCGGATGGCAGGAGCTACTGTGAAATATTAAGGGACATAAAAGAAACCGTAAACATAGACAAACTGGGCATACAGATTTCTTCTCTCAGGAAAGTAGGAGCTGACTCCCTATGCCTTAAAATAGAAGGAGGAAGTGACAAGGTGCAGACACTGAAAAGGGAAATTCAAAACTCAGTTCAAAACACCCAAATTAAACTCAGAACTAATGAACAGGTTTTCTATATCCTGGACATGGACGAGGCAACCAGCAAGGAAGAAGTAGCAAATGCCATCACAGAGCAAATAGGCATAGAGAGGGCTTTCTTTGAAATAAAATCCTTGAGCGTCAACAAAAAAGGGAATCAAGCCGCCACAATAGGGATCCAGCCAGCCCACGCAAGGAAGCTCCTAGAAGCAGACAAAATCAAAATAGGATGGCTAACCTGCAGAATCAAAAAGAAAGTCCAACTGATCCGATGCTAGAAATGCCTAGAATTTGGCCACCGCACTACAGAGTGCAAAGGGAAAGACCGTACGAAG